AAACATGGAGCGCCATGCGGGCCAAAGCGGTGCCATTCTGAGCTCGGCTGTGGCCATGCAATTGGGAAAACCTTCACTGGGCATGCGCAGCACCCCCAACCCCCCCCTTCCCCGCCAAAGTGTCAGCCACACTTTGAACCGCAGGGATTTTGGGATTGCGTCAAGACCTCTGCTCCAGGGGTGTTAAGGAATAGCAAGCAAATGGATAGGCAGGCGCGTAAGACAATCTCTATTGCCTCATAGTATTATTGTTATGCAACAATTCAAGACTTCCATAGTATTCCTTTTCTTGGCCAATGATTAAAAGCAGGGGGGGAGGGAACTTTTCCAGCATGTTTCCCGGGCTACTCCTGAAGCCCACTTTTCCCCAGTCTGCAATATCAAAATGGGAAAGTAAAATGCTCACATTTAGCAACATGTTTTTTGCAGCTCCCCCCATACAGTAGTTAAAAGGCAAACGAGGTATAGGAAGCCTCTGATAAACTTGGGAAATTTATTTTCATTTTGGAGGTATTATTATTCTTAATAATATGAGCCGAGGTAGCGCAGTGGTTAAATGCAGCACTGCAGGCTACTTCAGCTGACTGCAGTTCTGCAGTTCGGCTGTTCAAATCTCACCAGCTCAGGGTTGACTCAGCCTTCCATCCTTCCGAGGTGGGTAAAATGAGGACCCGGATTTTGGGGGGCAATTTGCTGACTCTGTAAACCGCTTAGAGAGGGCTGAAAGCCCTATGAAGCGGTATATAAGTCTAACTGCTATTGCTATTGCTATTATGGTTGGTGTTAGGTCACACCAGAAGGATGTAGATAGGTATTAACTTGCCTAAATCTGAAATGTCTTAAAACAGCCCACATGTAAACAACAACAAAGGTGTTGCTACTAGATGTTACTTTTGTGGTTCCCAAGTCTCAGCCTGAATCCTAAAGCAGAAAATGAGCCAATATTGACTGTGACCCACGATTGGTGAAATTGGAAATAATAGTAAGCACTCGCCTGCCTAGTTAAGGTTCTTAGGTAAGACTTGATAGGTAGATAAAAGTGCCGAATCCAGTCTAAAGATCTATTTGACTGTGTGATGAGTCATAATAATATTTTACTATAGATTATGGCAGAAACTGGTCATGGTGGTCCCAGTCAGTGGTTATTGGTGTACTGGGGCCATGCCCAAAAATCTTAGATGGTGCTTAGAAAATCTGTGCATTGACAACATTTGATAAACGAAATAAAATAATTTTTCCTTCTGTTAACTAAAAAAAGCCATGCTGTTTTGCACCACCTACATACTATACCAGTGATGGCGAACCTTTTTTTGGCTCATGTGCCAAAAGTGGGGGGAGTGCAGGGGGGTCATGCACGGGCGGGCCACACCCATAATGCTATGCGCACGACCCCAGCGCACATGCACACACGACCAGCGCTCCCCCCCATTTTTGACATGCTTTTTTCACCCTCCCCAGGCTCCAGAGGCTTTCTAGGAGCCTGGGGAGGGTGAAAACAGACTCCCCCACTCCCCCCAGAGGCCCTCCGGAGCACGAAAAACAAGCCCTACGGGCAAACCAGAAGTTCAGGAACGCAAACCGGAAGTTCGGGAACGCACTTCCGGTTTGCTCGTAGGTCTGGTTTTTGCCTTCTGGAGCCTTCAGGGAAGCATCCTGAAGGCTCCTGAAGGCTCTGGAGGGCAAAAAACGTCCCTGTGAGCAAACCGGAAGTGCGTCCCTAAACTTCTGGTTTGCCCGTAGGGCCGGTTTTTCGCGCTTCGGAGGCTTCAAGAAAGCCTCCGGAAGGCGAAAAATGGCCTCAAAATAAGGCCGAAGTCAGCTGGAGCTGACAGGGCAACACCTCGTGTGCCCTAACAAATGGCTCCGCGTGCCACCTGTGGCACACATGCCATAGGTTCGCCATCCTGGTACTATACGATCTATTACAGGTAGTCCTTTACTTACAACAGTTCACTTAGTGATCATTCAAAGTTACAATGGCACTGAAAAAAGCGACTTGTGACCATTTTTCACACTTATGACCATTTCAGTATCCCCATCCTTACATGAGCAAAATTCGGATGCTTGGCAAGCGACTCATTTTTATGACATCTGCAGTGTCCTTGGGGTCATGTGATCACCTCTTGAGACCTTCTTACAAGCAAAGTCAATGGGGAAGCCAGATTCACTTAACAACCGTGTGGCTAATTTAACAATTGCAATGATTCACTTAACATCTGTGGCAGAAAAGGTCGTAAAATGTGGCAAAAGTAACAAATGTTCCACTTAGCAACAAAAAATTTGGGGCTCAGTTGTGGTTTGTAAGTCAAGGACTAACCTGTACGAGATTCCTAGTTCTTGGGAAGAATTCGAAGTCTATGAAGGCCAACCCGAGCTAAAGAACTGGCAGTTGTGATTTCACATCTTGTGTATATACATCCCAAACAAGGAGATGAACTAATGAGAAGGGGGATATTTTGACTGTCTCCTACATTGCTGTTAGAAAAAGGATGTGACAATTTAAAGAGTAGAAGGAAAATAGAATCAAAGTAGAGTTATGATGACATTTGCTACAAAGAGAAGCACAATGTGTTGGCTTCCAAGCAGAAGACATGGCCTTGTTGTCCTTTGCAGCGGTAATGTCTCTGCTAGGTTTGTGACATTTTTCCCAGGAATGGAATGGAATGGAATAGAATAGAATAGAATGGAATAGAATAGAATGGAGTGGAATAGAATGGAATGGAATTGAGTGGAATGGAATGNTAACCTTCTTCTTGACTTTAACATGCTTGATATTGTCAGCTTGAAGAATATTATTATTATTATTATTTTGGAGATGGGCATTGCAGCAGGGGTACTCAGCAAAACAATCACTCCTATTCATACCCCTGCAAATAGCAATACGACAAACAGATAAGGTAGTCTTTGTTTTTTTGTATTGCTGAGAGTGTCAGCATCGCTACTTTCTTTCATTCTTTTGCTTCAAGGCCCAATAACTTCATTTCAGACAAAGAAAAGAAGCAGTGATTGGTACTTGCGTGGCCTTGAACAAGCATCTTCACCTACTGGAAATGAGTTTTGGAATATATCTTTCAGGACCCTCAGTGGAGAAATTACTTTTGATAACAAATAATTTCCATCACTCCAGAAAGCAGAATGAAAATAGTAAAATGATACATCCAAACATATATTACAGAAAAGAAAAGAAAAGATCTCTCTTCTACCATCCTTCTTAGTAGATAACTGTATCATTCAGGATCATGGATAAGCAAGTGTGCACCACAGAACAATTGAAATTATAGTGCTATATTATTGGTGTTCCAGGCTAAGTGAGCAGGGAGCCACTCACAGACTCATACTTATCACTCCTACATGATAACATATTATATTGGGTTGATCCCTAGGCCAGGGCCTTCTACTGATTTTGCCCCAGCCTGATTCTTTTTTCAAAATATAAGGATGGAGTGGTCAAGGGAGATTATTAAATGAATCATCTGGCTGCCATTATCCAATCAGGTATCTACATGCCTAAACTGATTCAGCAACATTATCATAAATTTTAATATATCATAGGAAAGAAGAATCTGTATAACCTATGCAAAATCTGGTCTAGAAAAGGAAATAATTCAAATCTGTACCAAAATGAGTTCATGAATGCATTAAATAAATGAATGGATACCTTTGTCAGGGGTCTTTTTCCTTTTGAAATATATATTTACCCTAGTAACGAACAAAAATGCTGCCGAAAGCACTGTTTAAAATGATTTGGTTTTAACACATGTGCTTATATCTTTCTCCAGTCATGAATCATCTGGCAAATTAATCAGATCTATACAGGAATTTAAGTACAGAGGCTCCTGTGCAATTACAATACTGCAGAATAATTCAAGCAAGATTGGAAGGTGGCTATATCTTTAATGCTTTGTGAGACAAAACCCACAGGAACTACAGGGACAATTTGCACAATGGAACTCTAAAACAACATGTCTTTTGTCTAAATCACGCCCCCCCCCAAAAAAAAGAATGAAATGAATGAATGAATATGAATGAATATGAATGAATATGAATGAATATGAATGAATGAATGAATGAATGAATGAATGAATGAATGAATGAATGAATGCACACACACACGCACACACACACACACAAAATATAATAAACAAAAGGTCAG